CCCCTCTATAAAAACAGTAGCATGCTGGACCTGGGGAGGAGAGCCGGAGCAGAACCCAAGCCACCAGATTGGGACAGAGCAGGCAAACGACACACGAACCAAAGAGCCCTAGCCGGGCGTGCGTGAGTGTGTGTGTGTGTGCGTGCGAGAGAGTGTGTGTGCGTGCCGCACACACGCTCAGAATAAAAACCATCAACCAACAATCCTGGTCTCAGAGACTCTGTCAGGCACCCACGGTGACACGATGGTCACACCACCCTAAGCTACAGATCGACCTACGGAAAAATACCCCCAGGGATCCCCGAGAGGGGGGGAGGATGAGGATCCCACTCGGACGAACCAAAGAATGACGAAACCAGGCAATGATGCATTGCAGGCATCAACCACGATGATGATTACAGAATGCTTTTGTGGCAAAGTGTGCAAATACCCACGTGGTCTGAAGATCCACCAGACCAAGATGAGATGTGTGCAGACGGAGCAAGTGTCACAGTGCGCAGGGATCCTCCCTGGTGAGACGCAGGAGAAGCTAGGCCTGGAGCCAAACCAAGTGGTACAAGCCCCAAACCCACACAGACCACCAGAACATTGTCGGGTTAGATGGCCCCAAGCTAATAAGCGCCAGTTTGATGAAGACACCGACCCCATCTTAGAAGCAACAGCCAAGGGGGAAGTCGATCGGCATCTCCAGACCATGACCACCATCATCATCATTAGCATAGCAGCTGAGAGATTTGGCCTGGAGGAGAAGAAAACAGTGAGACTCCAAGAGCAACTGAGCACACAAGATCCACCAGCTCAAGAAGGAGCTGAGGGTCCTGAGGCGGCAGTTTAAGCAGGCAAGAGAGGAGGAGAGGGGACCTCTCTCAGAGCTGCGCAACATACTTTGAAAGAAGCTCCTCACTTTGAGGAGGGCTGAGTGGCATAGGTGAAGAAGGAAGGAAAGAGCCAGGAAGCGCACTGCCTTTCTAGCAAATCCATTTGGGTTTACGAAGAAGCTGCTGGGGCAGAAGCGTAGTGGTCAACTTACCTGTTCCAAAGCAGAGGTCGACCATCATCTGGCTGCAACCTATGGAAATGCATCCAGGGAGCAAGACCTGGGAGACTGCCAGTCCCTGATTGACCCAGCAGCATCAACGGTGGACTTCGATGGGAGGGATCCCAGCTGGAAGGAGATCCAGGAGGTAGTCAAAAAGGCAAGATCAAGCTCAGCCCCCGGACCTAGTGGGGTACCTTACAAGGTGTACAAGAACTGCCCAAAGTTACTCCATAGGCTCTGGAGGATTTTGAAGGTAATCTGGAGGAGGGGAAAGGTTGCCGAACAGTGACGATTTGCAGAAGGTGTATGGATTCCGAAGGAGGAAGAGTCTACGAACATCGATCAGTTTAGAATCATCTTCCTGGTCAGTGTGGAAGGGAAATTATTACACCTCGATCCATAATGGAGGGATCCCAAAGATACCAGGGTGCCTGGAGCACAATGGCGTGGTCACTCAGCTGATCAGGGAAGCCATAGAGAGCAAGGGAGACTTAGTCATGCTGTGGCTGGACCTAGCAAATGCATATGGATCCATACCTCATAAGCTTGTCGAACAGGCACCGTGCCGCCACCATGTCCCAGCCAAGTTCAGAGACCTCATTCTGGACTATTATAACAGATTCAGTCTGAGGGTTGCAGCAGGATCCGTAACATCTGACTGGTACAAGCTGGAGAAGGGAATCATCACCGGATGTACCATTTCAGTGATCCTCTTCGCACTTGCTATGAACATGCTGTTGAAGTCCACCAAGGTTCAGTGTAGAGGGCCCCTAACCAAGTCTGGTGTCAGACAGTCGCCCATCAGGGATTTCATGGACGACCTGACCGTGACAACATCAAATGTCCCAGGGAGCAGGTGGATCTTGAAGGGGCTGGAAGAACTGACCACCTGGGCCCGCATGACCTTTAAGCCCGCTAAATCGAGATCCCTTGTGCTAAAGAAAGGAAAAGTCACCAACAAGTTCAGCTTTACACTTGGCGGCACCCAGATACCATCCATCATCGACAAGTCGGTGAAGAGCCAGGGGAAGGTTTTCAACTGCAGCCTGAGAGACACAGCGGCCATCAACTCGACCAATCAAGATCTGGAGGCTTGGCTAGTCACGGTGGACAAATCAGGTCTACCTGGCAAGTTCAAAGCTTGGGTGTACCAGCTTGGCATCCTTCTAAGTATTCTCTGGTCCCTCCTGGTGTACGAGGTCCCGATCTCCACAGTTGAGGGCTTTGACAGGAGAGTCATAATCTGGGTCCCTTTGTCTCACCACCTGATGTCGCCAAAGTCCCTCTTCCTTTTTGGTTGTCTCTCTCCCCCACCTGTTCCCTATTATTGTCATGTGATTGCCTCGTTACGTTAGAGTATTTAAACCCTGTGTTCTGTTAACCTCCTTGTTGAGTCTTCGTTGGTCACCCAGTAAGTCTTGTGTGCTTCTTTACTCTTTGCCTCAAGTTGCTTTTTGTTCTTTGGATATTATATGTTTGCCCTTGCGGAATTACTTACCTTTTGGATGTATTTAGTTTTTTGGGATCTAGCTACCTGTGTTCGGGACTTTTTACCTTTTTCTGGAAACTTCTGAGCGTTTGATTATTTTTGGGAAATAAACTTTTTCCTCGTTTACACCGTCCTGCGCTTGAGTCACTATCTAGGCCTCCGTGGGTCAGGATTCCCGCCTGCCACCTGGGAGACCCGGGATCAATCCCCGACCCTGACAGAGTCAGCAGGTTCCTGCGGAAGTGGCTGGGTCTACCGCGGAGCCTGAGCAGCATCACCCTATACGGAAAGAACAACATGCTGAAGCTCCCCTTCAGCAGCCTGAAAGAGGAATTCAAGGTGAGCTGAACTAGGGAGGTGCTGCAATACAGAGAGTCATGTGACCCAAAAGTCTCTCAGGCTGGTATCGAGGTCCGGACGGGGCGGAATTGGAGGGCGGCAGAGGCTGTGGAAGTGGCGGAGTCATGGCTGCGGCACAGGACTCTGGTGGGGACAGTGGCTCGGGGGAAGAGCAGGCCTTGGTAACAGCACAAAACCTTGCTACGGGAAGGCAAGGAGAAGAGGAGGAGAGCACTGCTCCAGGAAGAAGTGCGAGCAGCAGTGGAAGAAGAGCGAGCTAGCAGGATGCTTGGTATGCGGCAGCAGGGAGCCTGGACGCGATGGGAGCAAGCAGCAGAGCGTAAAGTCACGTGGACTGAACTGTGGAAAGCCGAGCCCCAGCGCATAAAATTCCTGGTCCAGGCTGTATACGACTTATTGCCAAGCCTGTCTAACCTGCTCTGTTGAGAGAAGGTGTAGTCACCAGCGTGTACCCTGTGCCAGAAGAGAGGGACCCTGGAGCACATCTTGAGCTGCTGTCCGAGGAGCCTGTATGAGGGGCGCTACCGCTTGCGTCATGACCAGGTCTTGAAGGGCAAAGCGAACACCATCTGCAGTGGAATAGCCCACTGCAAGCGCCTCCGCCCAGCAAAGAAGACCATCTCCTTCATCAGAGCTGAAGAAGGACCACCAGCTGTTGCCAGGGTCTCTTCCTCGGGCCTGCTCACAATGGCACTGGACTGGGAGCTGATGGCAAACTTGGGGAAACAACTGAAGTTCCTAGAAAATGTGGCCACAACATCACAAAGTAGGGAAGGGTATACGTACTGTCCAAGATTTATATAGAGGGTATAAACACTCATGTCTTTTGAGGAACTTAAACAACAATTTACCTTAACGGACAAGGGGGATTTCTGGAGGTACCGGCAGTTGAGAAGTTCAGTAGGAACTGTTTTTGGTCTAAGACGAGAGAATAAAGACGAAAATCTGATGCAGGAGTTTTTTAATGCTCTGCCTATTTCACACTTACACTCTGCCTCTATAACAAAATGTCAAAAACCCAAACAAATATGTGTGAAAATCTAAGAACTATCTGGCAGAAAGACCTTGATACAGACATTGATGACGCTGTGTGGGAAAATATTATCTCAAACGTGGGTGGGGCTACAAGGGATGCAAGAAATAAACTTATTCACTACAAAATTGTACATAGGTATTATTTTACACCAAGTAAGTTATGTCGAATGGGTTTAATAAAGGATAACAAATGTTGGAAGTGTAATAAAGAGGGCACATTTCTCCATGCATTATGGGAGTGTCCCTTGATAATGCCCTTTTGGAAGGCGGTCTTGAAAAAATTTGAGGACTGGCTTAGTCAACCTCTACCAGAGTTTGCAAAATTTTGCCTTTTTGGAGACAAGTCATTGATGTCGGAGGGCATCCCAAAAGCTGAAGGTAGAATAATGATGACAGGCATTCTAGTAGCAGCCAGAATTATTCTTCGTAAATGGAGGAGCCCAGAAATCAAGGAATGGCTTCAGCTTATGTCAGAGACAGCTGCTTATGAGGTCATGATTTCAAGGGTGCAGAAAGAGCCAAGTAAGGCTAGCCAAGCATGGGTATATTTTGACTACAATGTTGGTAAAAATTCTTAGGGGATTGGGGGGGGCCTGTATACTGTGAGTATGAATATGTGCATTGCTATATCTATGAAAAGGTAACTGATAAGTGCTGTCATGTTCTGTGTTGCTGCCGCTGTTTGTGTTTTTGTTGTTGAATGTCATCTGTTTGTAACTGTGTTATAAAAGAAAAATATATAAAAAAACTTTAATGAAAAAAAAAAAAGCAAGATGTAGTGGATCAGGAAAAATGGATTCACATCCTTAAAATATCAGAATGACTTCTCTGAACCTCAGCTGGGGGAAAAATGTGAAGTTCAGACTTTCCCCACAGTTTAAATACATTCTTGATATATTTGTGATTCTAAACTGACTGTAGGCACAATATTGAGCTTGCACGGTTGTTTGCCTCTCGCTCCATGGGAGCTAAGTCGGACTTCCGGAAGCGAAACCCTGACCAGAATTAATGAATGAATGTCACAAGTCTCAAGGAGACAAATCAACATGGAAAACGGCTAAATTACAGCATGTGCTGTAAGTATTATGTCAAAACACCAGCCAACACCCTGAACGGACATAGGGAGGATCACCCTGAGATAGGCAGTGGTTGGTACCACAGCTTACACTACGAATATTGGTTTTAGATAAATTAAGATATTACACTGACAAATCTTTATATGTCCTAAATTGTATTTCTTTGGACGAATAAAGACTGGCTTTTTTACTGTAGGAAGACCCTGCTTCGTGTTGCAGTCCATATATCAGTTTGTGAGGGGAATATTATCTGAGCTGGGGCATTCCTGCCGAGCACATGACAGCAGGCACTAATGGAGCCAGGACAGTGTGGGGGGTTGTTGCTCCCTTTGAAGCAGATAACATTTGAAGCAAAAAAACGTTGTTTGAAGTGGATAACCGCTCGTAAGTAGTTCACAGCTGTAATGAAGAATGTTTGGAGTCTTCTTAGGAAGCTCTCCCTGCTCTACTTTCTACTAGCTTTCCCTCAGGTCCCCATGACACATGTGAATCTCACTGTCACTCTTTAAGTCTTCTTATAATTCTGATCTGACTGCTCATCAACAAGCACATTGATCAAGCAACGAGATATATCAGGTAGTCTTGGACTATGGTAGACTCATTGAACCTTTCAGGGACTTTTGTGGAACCATGAAGCATTTGTCTCTAAACTGAGGAATATGTTTACTTTTCCAGTTAAAGCAGGAACCACGGGCATATTAAAATATTACCTTCATATTAATCGTGGCAAACAAAACATATCTTTTTTACAATCTGAAGGCAAAGGGAAATGAGAAGATTTCTTTTGGTTAAATTGGTGCCTGAGGGAGCACCACGGCAGATATTCAGTCGGGTTAAAGCATTTTCTGTCTTTTTTTCTTTTTTCTTACAGCACTTTCCTGTTTGTGCTACTATTTGGAAAAAAACATTACAAAAGCAGCAACCCAGTGTACCCTTTTGAGACAGGTGTATAAATGGAAATCTTTTGATCATATTGTGTGTCAAATCGAGCCATCTTTATCAAAAGAAGAAATGCTCCTTCTCTGTATGTTCCTCCTCTGTTTTGTTGTGTCATTCTTTTCCCTTTCTTACTGTAACATTTATTTTCTTCATGTATCTAGCTTCTCTCCTTGTTACTATCCATTCCATTGCATTACATTCTGCTTACCTGACTCCTTTTTAAAAATCTATTTATAGGTAGATAAATAGCCCTAATACAGAACATGATACTTACACTGTATCAAAACAAATTTGAAAATAAGAAATATTGATCCATCAGCCACAGCACAATCGTCATCTGATTGAACACATGGGGCCACGCTCTGATGAGTCCGATGGCTCAGTAGTTTTCATTTTATATTACCTGTGTTTGTTCATGTGTATATTTATGATAGTTCAGTTTATGGCCATGAAATGAAAACATAAACAAATACTTTGCTCAGGTTGAATATTTAAAAATTATTGTTATTATTGTCTTCTTTTAGAAGTCGACATCTGTGCTGATCTGTCTTCTGTCCAGTTCTGACAATTCATATTGAGTGGTGTCAGATGATGTGGTTGTGGCTTAGACTTTTGTCTTGTTTAACCTTTTCTTCTAGTCCTCCTATGAGGTGAGAGTGGGTAATTTTAAAGACTTTTGAGCACCTAAAATAAAACTTCTGATCTGAAAGAATGTGAGGATGTGTTTAGTTGGAATTTAATGGAATTTTAATTTAATGGAAGTCATCATTGTAGGCATTCTCACTATACTTTTCCTGTTTCTCTTCCGTACGTTTTTGCGCATCTAACTCCTCCTACACCTTTCAGCCGATTTCAACAAATAAGGTATCAAAATGTTCAGCTCCTTCAGCACATAGCTGCTATTACTTTTGGTGTTCATATCTTTTCAACTTTTTAAGTTATTTAACTTTTTCTGTTTTGTCTTCTCTCATTGAAATGAATGGAGAAATCTTCAACTCCGTCTAAAACTTTGACCTACTTCAGCCCTTACTACTTCAGCCTACCTTCAGCTAGAAAAACAATTCAACTTTTAAATGGCTCTCAAACCATTCAGCTATCCATCTATTACTTTTCTCTTAAAAATATTCAGCCGTTTTCGAAATATGGCAGTTTTAAAACCATTGAAATTTCAGCTTTTCCTATGGGTTCCTATGGGACCAAGTTAGAGCAGGAGATCAAAAGAAGTCATGTGACACACTCTAGCGTTTCAGCCACTCTTCCACTTCTTCAAACTCCTTCAGGTTACTTCCACACTCTTCAGCCTACATACACCAATTATACCTTACAACGTAGGAAAATGTGTCCTCTTTCACCCAATGTAACTTTCAAAGCCTTAAACCTTTCAGATATTGAGCTATGAGCCTCAGAGTCAGAGCTCTACCGCCAAGATTACATTGAAAATCCATTCAAAAATCTCACTGACAAGTTGTTCAACTCTTAACAGTCTCCTATTTTTAAATTGCTCCCGTTGGGCCATTTCTGGCTCAATTTAAAAAATAAAAACACCCTCACGATCCCCAATCTCTCCAGGCGCTCACGGTGTCCTCAGAATTAACGTGGCTCTTATAGTTTTGGCTCAGGAGGTCAGAAATGTGAGGGGAACTTTTGGCTGTTGAGCAAGCATTTGGCAGAGAGCCTGTATGTGTAAGTGAAGCCAGGTGAAGCCATTTCTATGACTACTAACGACTAATATGCTCTCAGCCCTGAGCTGTCGCCTCAAATACACGGCACGGTGGTCTGGTGGTTAGCACTGGTTAGCACTGCCTCCCAGCAAGAAGGTTCTGTGTTCGAATCCCGGGGGAACCAGGACCTTTCTGGGTAGAATTTCCATGTTCTCCCATGTATTACATTTCTCTTAAAAATATTCAGCCATTTTTTAAGTATGGCAGTTTTACAAACATTGAAATTTCTGCTTTTCCTCAGTTTTCCTATGGGTTATTATTCCTAACTTCAGCCTTTATCCAATTAGACTCTGAGTTTTTCAGCTTTTCTTTGGCTTCTTCTGCTTCCTCAGTGCTGTCTTGTGCTGTCTTCAGCCTTTTTGCTTTAAACTCTTTTGCTCTCTTCATTCAGCTGTTGGCATTCTCACAGCTGTTTGGGGGGAACAGCTCTTTATCTAGTTCTCATCATAATGCCTTGGATGGATCCGAAACTTCTGTTAGACCTTTATCATACCATGTTTTGAAACCAGTATCCTTTCTACCTGGTTCAAATGTCATATTGCACCAAAAAGGGTAAAATTCACCAAATTTTGATATTTCATTTTTTAAATTATGAGCTACATCCACAAATCGGACTGTAGGTTATGGCAGAAATATCTCAAAACAAGTAAAGTTTGAAAACCCTTTGAACATTTCTGTTATTCGTCAGTGTCAATATGAAACAGTATTATGGAAAGGGTAGCATTGATTGAGCTACAAGTCGATAAGGACACAGCATATCCTTTGCAAAGTTTATGCAACAGTGATTTTCAGAGGAGGCCAGTCCCTCTGATACTGTACCGTAAATGGAATAAAAAATGTAAAATGTACTTTGACAAACAGATTGTATGATTGTATGCTCAACTGCAAGGATTGCATGAAAACTTTGTGCTGCAGCGAAACCATTGCTTGAGCTGCGTCACATCACCTGACTCTCTCGGATAA